AGCTATACCACTCCTAGGCATATATCCAAAAGATGCTCAAGTACACAACAAGGACATTTGTTCAACCATGTTTGTAGAAGCTTTATTCATAATAGCCAGAACCTAGAAACAACCCAGATGTCCCTCAACGGAGGAATGGATATGAAAATTGTGGTACTTTTACACAACGAAATACTACTCAGCAATTAAAAACGAGGAAATCATGAAATTTGTAGGCAAATGGTAGGATCTAGAAAAGATCATCCTGAGTGAGGTATCCCAGGAGCAGAAAGACATACACAGTATATACTCACTTATAAGTAGATACTAGACCTATAAGATAGGATAAACATACTAAAATCTGTACACCTAAAGAAGATAAACAAGAAGAGGTTCTGGGGTAAAATGATCAATCCTCACCTAGAAAGACAAATAGGATAGACATTGGAAGTAGGAGAAAACAAGAAACAGGACAGGAGCCTACCACAGAGGGCCTCTGAAAGACTCTATCTAGCAGTGTATCAAAGCAGATGCTGAGACTCATAACCAAACCTTGGGCAGAGTGCAGGAAATCATTTGAAAGAAGGGGGAGATAGTAAGACCTAGAGAGGACAGGAGTACCACATGGACCAAATATATCTGGGCACAGGAGTCTTTTCTGAAACTGATTCTCCAACCAAGGACCATGCATGGATATAACCTAGAACCCCTGCTCAGACATAGCCAATGGCAGCTCAGCATCCAAGTGGGTTTCCCTAGTAAGGGTAACAGAGACTGTCTCTGACATGAACTCAGTGGTGGGCTCTTTGACCTTCCCCACTCCCCCCGAGGGAGGAGCAACCCTGCTAGGCCACAGAGGAGGACATTGCAGCCAGTCCTGAAGAGACCTAATAAACTAGGGTCAGATAGAAGAGGAGGAGGACCTCCCCTACCAGTGGACTTAGAGAGCAGCAGTGAGGAGATGAGGGAGGGAGAGTGGGATTGGGAGGGAATGAGGGAGGGGGCTACAGCTGGGATACAAAGTAAATAACCTGTAATTAATATAAAAAATAAAAATTATATTAAAAAAACAAAAACAAAAATACAGAAAGACTATAAGAATATGTTTTTGTTATATTCCCAGGTATGGAAATATGAAGCTGCTTCACAGCAGGTGACTATGATTTGCCTTGTGCTCTAGCAGGAGTGTGGTTTTGCTACCTGCAGATATTTTCTGCAAGTGTGTGACTTTGGGAATTCTGGGAATTTTTCAGAGGGTACAGAAATGCCGGGGCCCCAAGAGGCAGAGTTGTTGCTGTTTAGTAGTTAGATGGTGATGTTTGAAGTCTGTTACGTGGTAGAGAACAAAGAAGCAACAACAAGAAAAGTTAGATATCCTGATGGCAAAGACCAAACTTGTCCCAAGGACCTTAAAGCTCCTAATCAGCAGTAGGTAATCTAACAATATCGACACCCCCTTTCTTCTCTATCCTTTTTTTCTCCCTTATCTAGTGTTTGGGGTTTAAAAGTGTGAAAAGGGGGTTGAGAAGGGTGGGGGTCGGGGGAGAGAAAGGAAGCCACAAAGTGGTAAAATGCCGGCTATAAGAGCAAATAAAGGATTCCAGAAATGACACTTTTGTTGAAGCTTTAAACATGTACTGGTCAGAATTCCACTTTCATCACTACCTGCACCTGACTGGATTTAGGAGTTTCTTTTTCTTGAACTAAACATGTTCTTAGTTTCGCATCCCCTAAATAGCTAAAACACGCACAATTCTAACACCTAAATTCTTGACACAAGAGACTCTGCATGCATCTGTATGTCTTCTATGTAAAAGTATGAGAAAACAAAACCAAAGCAGCTCCTAAATGGCAAGCTTTAATTCAGATCTGATGCAGTTTTAATATATAATTTGACTAACAGTATAATCAGATGGTTATTAAAGCTATATTACCAGAGACAAGTTATATTATAGCTACGGTCATGATTGAGCATGTACTAAGTGTTTCCAGGGTAGACAAGACTTGACATGTGACAGTCTTAATGTGATATTAAAACATAAGATGTGATATTTTCATTTATGGCCTCACAGTAAGGATTAGACATTATAGTATGTTCCCATCCTGTCCCTCTTTTCAACCACTTTCGGTGTCTATTCTATTTGCCCTTCTGAATGAGAACTAAGCATCCTTCATTGGGTCCTCCTTGTTATCTAGCTTCTTTAGGTCTGTGGATTGTAGCATGGTTGTTCTGTATTATATAGCTAATATCCGCTTATGAGTGAGTATATACCATGCATGTCTTTCTGATTCTGTGTTACCTCACACAGGATAATCTTTTCTAGTTCCATCCATTTGCCTGCAAATTTCAAGATTTCCTTGTTTTAAATAGCCGAGTAGTATTCCATTGTGTAAATGAATCACAATTTCTGTATCTACTCTTCAGCTGAGGGACATCTAGGTTGTTTCCAGATTCTGGCTATTATGAATAAAGCTGCTATGAACATGGTTAAGCAAATATCCGTGTTGTATGATGGAGCATCTCCACCTCCACCCAGCAGGGAATCGAAGCAGATTCTGCCCAAAGAAAAACTTTGGGCAAAGCACAGGGAGTCGTAGGGAAGAGTGGGAGGATAGAAGAACATGGAGGGGACAGGAACTCTATGAGAAGACCAACAGAGCCAGCAAATCTGGGCTCAGCGGAAGTTTCAGAGACTGATGCACCAACCAAGGACCATGCATGGAGAGGACCTAGACCCCCTGCTCAGATGTGGCTGATAAGCAGCTCAGTCTCCATTTGGGTTCCCTCATAAGGTGAGCAGAGGCTGTCTCTGACATGGACTCTGTTGTCCATTCTTTGATCATTTCTCCTGGTGGGGCAGCCTTGCCAGGCTATAGAGGAAGAGGATCCAGGTAGTCCTAATGAGACTTGATAGGCTGGGGTCAGATGGTGGGGAAGGAGGATTCCACCCTTCTGAGGATTAGGGAAGGGGAATAGAAGATAGGAGGGAGGAAGGGGGGCCTACAATTGAGAAATAAAGTGAATAAATTAATAAAGAATAAATTTAAAAGGATTGGAGATTGCATCAGCAACATATGCTCTTTACCTTGCATTTTAAAATCATACCCCCTTATTTATAGATGTAAAGTGTATGCATATTTATACATGACATATAGACTCACATAAGCACTTATATATCCTTCCCTCTGAAATTCATTTATTTTCCAAGCCATGTGTAAACATCAAGATTCCCTATCACTCATTATCATATTAGAACTCAGGTATGATTTCACTAGCACTGAGGCTGGATAGATTTAATGAATTATTTGGCAGTCTCTTTGTTTGGCAATAAGAACACAGGTATGTATCAGCCTCATTAAGCACTAGCTAGGGATAGGAGCAACTGGCCAAGGGCAGTAGTGTGCACCCCAGGTCAAAGGTTAAAACTCTCAGGCCATGACAGGAATCTCCCCCGCCCCTGCCTACCTCCCTCCCTCCCTTTCACTTTCCCTCCCTCCCCACAGTCAGGGAATCCTGTCAAATTCATTTCCTTTATTTCCTTCAGGACAGTCACACACTTCTAAGTGCAAACGTCAGTGGTGCTTCATAGAAGTTCCAAATTCAAAATACAGATGCCGATCTCACCATGGCCACTGGCATGTCCATGTGGCTTGGGGTATGCCAGCTGTATGAAATTCCTCTATAAAATTAAAGATGTGTATGTAACTGGTTCTGCACTAGAGAACGGTTCAAGAAACATATCCACAAGCTTCTATGAAGACTCAGTAAAGATGGCAGAACATCTGAAAGCCCCTCAGGGAACCACATCTTAAACCAGCTTGGCCTCAAGAGTGGTTAGTTGCCTGATTGATGTATTGATTGAGACCCCTGGAACTCACAGAAATCCACCTGCTTCTGTTTTCAAGTGCTGGGACTAAAGGCATACACCATTACATCTAGCTAGCTTGAGTCTTAATCCAGAAATATTTGGAATTAAGTAGTACTGCCTGGCTAAGGCATACGTTGGCTGAGGGTTCTAGGAGAACCTGGGGCTCTGAGTGCCTTCAACATTCTCCCAGGGCTGTTTGTAATTTTCCCTACTTAAAGTGGCCTGAGATGGGAGGCATAGACACTAGGAATATAGAAGCAGTCTGCTTGGCCACAGCACTAAACCAAAGAGAAACTGGCTACTTCTTAGTAGAGATGTCTTCATATTTTCATAGCAGACTCATATATTATTACCTATGTGTAACGACCTCTGTTTCTTAGATCAGTCTTCTCTCCACTAGAAACTAAACCTAGAGCTTTGTACATGCTAGGTGAATGCCATAACACCTACCACTGATACTGCTGAAACATATCTCCAGCCCTCAGTCTCAATTTCAGCCAAATATGTCTGCTCTTCCTTCATCGTCATTGCTGCTGTGTGTTTTTCTTATTTGGGGGAACATCAGTCTCATGCAGCCCAGACTGACCTGTAGCCATGTCATCATTTTACAACCATTCTACCCTAGATGTTTTGCCCCTGTGTGAACTCCTGCACCTCGTTTTAACTTTTATTCATGTGTGTGTGAAATAGCACCTCTCAGTTAAAATTACAAAATCCTACAAAGGGTATCTTTATTTGACAGGTTTGGTGGGTTTTATATAGCTAGCATGCAGTGAAGCAATGAATATAAATAGGATATGAGAGAAGTAAATAAGATGAAAGAGTTCATAAAACTTAGTGGAATTTATACTGTAAAAACCTTAATTCAGTGTATGTATAGCAAAGCCTGTTTTCTATATGACTGTTCCCCATGCCTGAAAGGAAAGCGAATACTGCAAATCATTTTAACATATGATGCTAATGAGACACCCACAGACAGCATCTTTCAGATATGCAAGGCACTTAAACTAAAACCATGGTTTCCCTCTAGGTAATGTCTCAGGAAAATTTAGCTATCTATGCTCCATTAGTGCTAGAATCAACGAAAAGGTGAATCACTCTATCAAAAAATGTGAGACATTTGTGGACTGTTATCAAAACTATGCATCCTACCTCCTTGAAGTTATCAAAAGCTGATAAAATTATTTCATGCCCGCCTCTGACAAGACAAACGGCTGCCAACAGCTCCAAGACAAGAGCTTTTGTTCTGTCAAAACAAGAAGAGAAAAGAAAAAACAAAAATCACTGAAAGAGACATCATGAGTCAGCGGCTCCTTCCAGGGTGAATAGTCGAGGAATAAGAGCACTGGCCCACACATTCATTAAACCTCCGGTAACTTAAGGACACAGAGCCCATTCTTCAACCTTCCTAAGTACAAGATCTTCAGTGAATGTGCAAGGTGTGTGTGATGGTCAATTTCAACTGTCCAGAGCCTAATATGGCAAAAATCAAAATCAACTGGAATTAATGTTTTGCATTTCTCTTGCAGAAACAGAGCCATGAAAATCCCACAGAACAAGTTTCTAGTATTTCTCTTCTTATACAGGAGACCAGGAAAGCGTCAGATTACAGCTGTGCTAACAAAAAAATATTTTCTCTGACTCAAGAAAATAAAGTTGCATCTGAAATCATTCTGGAAGAAGAAGCTAGAAAGGAATTCAAAGTTTGCAAATAAAATGTGAAGAAAGAAACAGCATTGTTTCTTCATCATAAGACTACTTTAGCATTTCATCTTTATTCTAGAATAAAAACTACTGCCAACCTCTTAACAAAGACTGTACTGATACCCCACAATGCCAATTGTCTTTAAAAAAGTGAATAATGGCTATCCTGTGGTGGAAGGCAGGAACAAGGAAGCATGGCTATTTTGGATTTTAGTAAACTACAAAAGTAACCTCAAAACCAAAATATACAATATGTATACAAGACTTTACAATTTGTATTCCCTTCTAAGTTAAAAGATCCAATTTATAATAGGTTTTTTTTAAGAGGAATTAGTAGTTTTTTGATATTCCAGTTCTTAAAAAGGTATTCGAAGTATAGTGTTATACAACTGAAATGCAGACATCATCAGAAGACAAAATACAACAACCAAAAAAGCAGACAGTTAGTAAAATAACTACCACATGCAATTCTGGCCTTGATGGTCCACATAAAAGGAAAGAATGCATGCAGGCATTTGTGTTCTCTTCTGTTCTTTTTTTTTTTTTTGTATTTTATTTTTTTCTTATCAGTTACATTTTATTAACTCTGTACCCCAGCCGTGTCCCGATCCCTCATTCCCTCCCAGTCCCTCCCTCCCATCTCTTCTGTTCTTAACTAAGCTACGTGTGCACAGGTAACAGGAAACATAAGCAAGGGTCTAGAGGGATGCTTGGATTTCATGTTCGCTGGTGTAGCTAAACTCTTATCAAGATTCCTCTGGTCTCCCCACCTGGGTGAACTGGAAACCCAGTCCTGCCCATCAAAATTGTCAATAGATATGCAAAGAACCAGGTCACCCAGGGACTGGAAGGTCAAAAAGAGCAATGAGCAAGAGCCGCCGCCAGTGTTCAACTCTGTAACAGGGCCAAAGGGAGAAACTCTACACAGTGGCCATAAAACCGCAGGGTTTATGGCCACCCTCAGTCTGCTTGGGGAAGCCACTCTTGGAAGTTTTTCGATTCTACAATTAACTGCTGAGTAGCTCTCCGCCTCCCTGATAAGATTTAGACTTGAACGTTACAAAAGATGCTTACCTGGGATTCTTGTTGTTCAGACTTAGTGCAATCTCATTGACAGCGTGTGGATGAGACATGACCATGTTGAAACCATACTAAAATGCAGATGGAAAAGAAAAGCATTACAAGAAGTTTTAATATTAATTAAAAAAAAACCACTTGGGGTGGCAGTATAGCTCAGTGGAAGAGTCTGCCTCATATGAGTGCAAACCCTAGACCCAAACTCTAGCACTGCCACAACCCACGAACATTTCTTCTTCATGTAACTCATGTCTTCTACAGAGGCAGCTGAGCTCATGAGTGTCAGAACATGCTTCTTTTCCAAAAGTTTTGGAACTGATAACATCCATTATCAAGGGTACTTTGAGGGAGATCATCCTTCCATTATTTATGAATGCTTTTCTTTCTCTTTTTTTTTTTTTCCATTTACTTATTTATTTCATCTCTTTCCAGGCTGATCGCAGCCCTCTCTCTCCTCTAATCCCAGTCCCACCTCACATCGTCCTCCCCTTATTATCCTCTTCCCTTTTTCTTAGAGAAGGGAAACACCCCACACACACACACGGGTACCTACCCACCCTGGCACATTAATTCAAAGCAGAACTAAGTGATTGGAGAGAGCCAACCCCTGACACTATTAATGATACTCTGCTATGCTTGCAGACAGGAGCCCAGATTAACTGTCTTCTGAGAGGCTTCATCAAACAGCTGATAGAAAAAGATGTAGAAAGCCACAGCCAAACAATAGGCTGAGCTCAGTGAGTTTTGTGGAAGAGTGGGAGGAAGGATTGAGGGAGCCAAATGGGTCAGGGACACCACAGGAAGACCTACAGAGTAAACTAACCTGGGCCCAGGGGGCCTCAAAGAAACTGAACCACCAACCGAAGAGCATATATGGGCTGGACCTAGGGCCCCTACACATATGTGTCATCATGTGGGTCCCCTAACAATGGGAGCAGGGGCTGTCTCTGGCTTTGTTGCCTGCCTATGGATCCCTGTCCCCTAGCTGGGCTGCCTTGTTTGTAGTTTTCTTTATTAAACTAAGAAAAGACTCTACTCTAGTGATTCAAAACTTGTATACTCATTAAGTCACTTTGAAGACCAAACAAAACCAACCCCTGGTTGAACTGCCAAGATCCACCCAGGTCAGTTTACTCTGCATTTCAAAGACAAAACCTTGAAATCTGAATTTTTCAAGCATACAGGATGATTCTACCACACACCTAGGGTTGACTATTCCTAGCTTCTACTCCACCTCTCATTACCACCACCACCTCTGGCAATGGCCATTGTGACACACACACTTCTCCATCACTCCATACAAACAAGCCAGTCCACAACAAGGATCTAGCTTCTGCTAAACTGAGCAACTACTGTCTTTTCTAAATGAACACACAGTTTTGCTCTTCTTCCTCTCGCGCTGAGAAAATATACGCAACCAGCATACAAGGGAAAAATAAGGGAAAAAAAAAAAAAAAACCTCTTGAGGCTAAGACAGGAAAATGACATGTTGGAGATCAGCACGCACCACGTAGCAAGGCACCGTGTCCAAAACAACCAAAACTTTCTAATGTTCCTATCATGTCAATCTGCCAGGCACATCTCCTCTCAGAGATAATAAACACTTCTATGCTCTGATCTGAGGCCAGACCCTCCACTATAATCCTTGACCTCACTCCCTCTCATCTACTCAAGAACAGTATATGAGCCAGCATGGTGACACACAGCTGTAATCCTAGCACTTTGGGGTGCAAGCCTGAAGATCAGGAGTTCAAATCCAGCCTGGTTTACCTGAGATCCTGCCTCAAAAATAAAAACAGACAGGTGCATTGGTACACACCTGTAATTCCAGCACTCAGAGGAGCAGAGGGAGGCAGATCTCTGTGAGTTTGAGGCCAGCCTGGTCTACAAAGCAAGTCCAGGACAGCCAAAGCTACACAGAGAAGCCCTATCTTGGGGAGTAAGGGGACAGAAAATATGAAATGTTCTGAAAGTTATGCAGGCCTAGTTGTCTCTCTCTACTGATTCATCGCCATTAGCATAAATACAATATGCAACAAAACCCTAGCTTGACACCTTCCCATTTCACTGCTACCCTTTGTAGCAAAGTCCCTTCAAACACTCAGGGTCTAGAGTTCTTCTCTTACTGTGTGCTCCGAAAGCCACTCCTTCCACCTCCCTCCCCTCAAATTGTTCTTGCCAAGATCACCATGGATGTGAACTTAGCTAAAGCTTCTTGCTGAGCCTCATTCATCTTGCATGACTTAGCAGTAGCATCAGACACAGCTTGAGGCTTTTCCTCTTCCTGGCTTCTGCCCTCTTAGCTATTTCTCAGACTTTCTTCTTGGCTTATCTCTCTCTGACATTTAAATGGAGTGCCTTAAAGGTTCATATTAAGAACTCCCTCTCTACATACTAGCCCATTATCAAGGTTTCTGATACCATTTTTTTCCAAATTATTTTCAAATATCTCTGTCACACCTACCCCTCAGTGTTCAGACTGGCTTATCCAAGTACCCACTTCAGCTCACCTTCTCCCTCAATACCCAACAAATGCTGTGGCCTCCATCCAGAGAGATCTAGAGCCTAGCTATTTTCCTCATCTCTCCTCCTACAATTCTGAACCACACCGCCACTACAACTCACCCAAGCTGCTGCCAGTAACCTCCGGGACAGCCTACCTCCTGTTGCCTCTGCACCCAAAGGCCAATGCTAAACATAGAAGCCATAAAGATCCGATCAAGGGCTGGAGAGATGGCTCAGAGGTTAAGAGCACTGCCTGCTCTTCCCGAGGTCCTGAGTTCAATTCCCAGCAATCCCATTGTGGCTCACAACCAGCTAAAAGGAAATCTGGCGCCCTCTTCTGGCGTGCAGGTGTACATGCAAACACACACATTGTATACATAATAAATAAATAAATCTTTAAAAAAAAAAAGATCCGATCAAAGCAGTTGTCCCACTACCCCCTCAGAATGCTTTGGTGGTTTCTATTTGTAATAAAGCCATATCTTTCACTGATCTATAAGATTCTAATTAATCCCTGATATTTCTGCTTTCATCTTCTCTTTGCCTTACTCCTCACTTACTTTTCATAAATTCTGTCTCCTCAGTGACACTCTCCTAGTAGCCAATCTGGGAAATCTAAAACTATATATACACATTTGGCACTTCTGTCCCTACTTCTGATTACTTTTTCTGCAGTATTTAGTAAAAATAATTCCCTGGGTTCAAAGCCTTCCTAGACTCGAACCTTGTACAATTCATTAGCCATGTACTGTGGAGGCTATTGCTTAACTTCTCAGTTTCCTCAACAATAGAATAGGAAGAGTAACACTACCAGTCTTACAGGGATGTGTGGATGCAAGAACTCACAGGCATAAAAACCTGAGAGGCGCACCATGTGGTAGCTGGCTTCGGGCCCACTTTGTCATCGTTAGGATACGGAATGCTATACGTTTGCGGTGCTGCCTTGATTACCCTCTCGGGAGAGTGAGTTCCCAACACACTTTTACGGACTGCAGCATTCTCAGTACTTACAAGACTGTCTCCATCGGGTGAAGCACCACAAAAATTCTACTTGGTGGGGGAAGGCCAAAGCACGCTTGCCTTCACACAGTCCATTCACACTCCCAATTGGAGTGCTAACCTCAACCCTTATGTATCTAGTCTCCAACCTGGGAATCTGAGTTTTAAACAGAATCCTTTTTTTTTTTTTTTTTTTCTAATTCTTACCCCATTTGGTTTATCTACACTTATGGCCCCATTCATTTACCCTACATCTTGCGGGCATTCATTTTCCATGGTTGTGTAGGATTAACCAAAAGTGCATGGCTATACCGTTTCCCAGACTGAGCTCAGCCCACCGCAGAGCCAGCCAGAGCAGGAATGTGCACTTTAACAGTGTTCCCCACGCCCCTTGAGGAGACTGGGAACCACTGGTTTTAACACACAATAACTATAACCTCTTGATTGACCGCAACAGAAGCCACTGACCAGGTACCTCATTACCACTGTTTCAGTGGTAATGAAACATTACCCACAACTGGAGGACTACTTCCCATGGTGCTCACAAATTTTTCCCAAGTAATGCAGGATCACTTATCACACATGATAAATTATAAGTACTGAAATATGCAGCCACAGAACTAAATATTTAACAGTAAAATGAATCAGATTTTTCTGAATAGACTCTCATTAAGTCATGATCTGTACTTCAAAGAGATACACAAACATCAACACACACATGGGGGAGAGAGAGCGAGAGATCTGAGTCTGATTCCAACAGAATCTTATAGAGAACTGAAGCAAACACATACCTGATAATTCATGATGGCTCGTAAACACATGATACAGACATGAACATCATCTTTCTTACTCACTAATCTTGAATTTTTCAGAGTTCTTCTGCTTGGCAAAGTATTATATCTAAAAATAAAAATGGGGAACTTTTATAAGATGACAGCCTACAGTGAGCACAAAGCAAATAAAGAGACACACACTAGTTTCTGTTTTTACAAGCACCTACGTAAGAACTGCAGGCACAGAACACCCCAACACTAACCATTCCAGAGGGCGAGGGCCCCGTGGTTCTGTGAGCCTTTCACCATCTTTCCAGGCTATCTTCCCACTCAGTGAAACTCATCCCTACATACAACACATAAGGAAAGAAGGAGTACCTGAGACCTTGTAACAATTCCAGATCAGAGCTGGGGACCAAGCCAGGTTTACAGAAG